GAAAAAACAATATTCTTTTTTGTTTGATATTCAATACAAGTCCACATACCACCAATGTATGTTGATGCACCTCAATATAATACGAGCGAACACACTTTTACGTTTCTCTGATTTCGCATAATTTTGAAAGCCTGATTTGTTAAGGTCAGTTTTGACCATATTATCTCAGGCGTCTCTTAACATAGATGAAACAATATTATTATGTCAGATGATGCAGATTTTAATTAGCTTTAAAGTGGTAAGCAGCATAAGCGGGTTGTAAAAGGCTATGACACGATGACTGGGTGATTGCATTTTCAAATTTCTTTTGGACGCTACATTATTTAAGTACATTTAGATTTGTATACTTAATTAATTTAACCTGTATTTATTAAGGTCACAAGCTAGAATATCCTACTTGGTTAGCTTAAATTAACCTATTGTCAAGATCACGTTATATTATAATACTTGGTTAGCTTAAAATTAACCTATATTTGTCTAGGTCATAATATATTAGATATGCTTGATTTGCTTAATTAACCTATATAATTTGTCAGCGTGACTAGTGGTCAATACAGATGACAGAATGAACCACCATCGCGGAAACGTTCGGTCGGTCAAGTGTACGGTGACCCGGAAATCGAAGACGTCTCCGCCTGTGTGTTGCCTCGGGCAACGCGGAAGAAGAGGTCCTGCTAGGTAAAGAGTAGTGCTGGGCAATGAGTCTCTTTAGCAAAATCCGGGTAATATGTTAGTGCACCTCTTCGGTAAATGATTTGTTATGAACCGCTTCGGCAAATGGGTTAGTACCACTTCGACAAACGGGTTAGCATCACTTCAACAAAAAAGTGCACCCACTTCGGCAAACGGGTCAGGAAAGAGAGTTAAGAGTCTGAATTCGGATAATGTTTTATTGAGGATTAACTGATTATCCGGATATTTATCTGGATTTTGTCCACTTCTAGTATAGGGGCATAACTCGTGCTTGTTAGGTCTTTTTTTTTTGGGTCAGGGCAAGACAAGTTTCGCGCCTGGTGTAGAGCGGAAGTAGTCCATAATTATAATTTAAATTTGGTCACTTAACAGCGGGCTGACCCAAATTTCGGGGGTTTCAAGAAATCTTGATCTACATCAAAAGTGAGCATTGCTCTACCAACAGGAGAAGTTTGGTTTTATTGGTGTGTATATTTGTTTGGTTATAGAGAAAACTCTCCTTGTCTACCTTCGATTTTCTCAATACAGCATTTTTTCTTGATAACTCTGGTGTGCCCAAAAGCGTTTTTCTTGATAACTCCGGTGTGCTAAAAAGCGACCATTCAAATGTAGAACTCATTACATCTCGGCGACAGTTGAACCTTGCCATCTAAGACGACTACAGTTTTTTTTTTCTTTCTTTAAAAACAAATAACGCTTTACTATTATAATATCATTATTATAGTTCTACTTGTTTTCTCTCCCCCCCCCCCCCCCCCCCTTTTTTTCCACTCCCTTGAATTTGAATGAAAAGCGGTTTTCTTTCCCGAAAAATACATATAATTAACAGAACACAATGATTTGTAGTAAAGCTGGTATGCGCTCAAAATAATTAAAGCCGGTTGTTTAATGACTTTCAACAATTCACACACCCAAAGCCTGTCTCAGACAAGACGACAAACAGCCAATTGAAGGGGGGGGGGGGGGCTGGTTTATAAACCTATCTCGGTAACTATGCCCTTTATAGATAAAGCCTTACAGCAATGAGGTATAGCGGGAAAACATGTAAAATGTAACTTTAATTTTTTGTTTAAGTATACGGTTGCCATGGTAACGGCCGCCATATTGAAAATAAACAGCTTTCATAAAGTAAAAAGGATTTTTTATTTACCATTCAAAGTTGGTACATTGATAGACATACTCAATACAAAATCCCATACACTTGGGATCTTGGATATCTTGAATAGGAAAAAGTTAGAGATGGATAATTGACCTACCCCCTCATGCCTCTGAATTCGATGACATATTTATCCATGTAACTCGTTCATGAAAGCGTCGATTTTATTTTCCACCTGTATAAAGTTAGGTTATGGTATGAATAACAAGCCCTGAGAATGTCATTGAAATCAAAAATAAAATAAAAAAGTAGATGAGAAAAAACATCAAAAATTGAAGTTTTGAGAAAAAACGACATTCTGTTACATAATAGGCTAAATGAAAGTTCTAGCGCAGAAAATCTGAAAGATGATGATTGTAACACAAAGAGTAAGCACTTTTTAGATTACAAGTGATTGGAGTATTATAATACGTAAAAAGTCAGGATACCATAAATTGACCAAAAATCGTCGATTTAAAACCAACCCCCTCACTTAAAAGTCTGTCTCAGTTATGATGACACGCCCAAAGCTGTCTAAGTTATGACGAAAAACACCCAAAGTCTGCCTTGTCATGATGAGGAACAACTTAAGGCTCTCTTATTTGACAACAAACACCCAAGGTCTGTGTTGTCTTGACGACATGACGACAAACACAAAAAGTATGTCATTATTGTCATGTCGTAACGACAAATTCCTTTGGATACCAGTACCAGTTTTCGGATATACTAGATTCTGTCCCTCCTCCCCTTTCAACTTTCCTAGTGTGGTCGGTGGGTTCTGTGGAGTGGTTAGCCCCTTCTTTCCAAGAAAACATATACTATTCTATCGTACAGTGCAGCCTCTCTATAACGACCTTCGATATAACGACATCCTCTGTATAGCGACATGGTGCCCAGGTCCCGATTTTTCCCTTATATTTCATATAATATTTTTGGTTGCTTCCCTATAACGACAACTCTCTATAACAACATTTTTTTTTCTGGCCCCGACAAAGTCGTTATAGAGAGGTTGCACTGTATCGTTTTTATCTCTTTTAACGTTACTCTCTAGATACCCTTGTTCATTCTGGCATGTATGTGACATAATTGTATTGCAAGTGCCGTAAAACTCTTATTAACACTTTTTTTAAAACTTCAACTTCACTACGGGTTTGAAACGTTGCCTGTTTGACGACAGGTTTGATGTAAAACAGCCGTTATACCAGTTACACCATTCGGCATCAAAAACTTCATTTCGTCTGA